GACCTACTGTCATGTCGAGCATCTCTTACTCATGGCCACACACACAACCCCCAACTCAGTATCCCAGACAATCTTCCACTCCTCCAAACAGGTCCCCGGCGCTCGAACTGGCTCTTAAGTCATTAATCCTCTACCTCAGAGCAACGACTTGAGGGGCTCCTGTTCTGAACTAGGCCAGTACTTGCCCCACAGTCGGGCAGGCCCAACCCAGTATCACATTGGGGAGGCCCAACAGGGCCCAATCCTCCTCTTTATCTAGCACGTTACACTGTCGGGCAGGCCAATGCCTGACACGGGGAGAGCTCACGCATCTTCCACACGTTTTCCATGTGCCCCCTACGCGGGAAGACATCATCAGGAAACTACCCACTTTTGAAAGAACTGATCAACCCACCTTCCAAAGATCATGGGGCAGTTGATCCAGGGCGAAGACCAGGTGTTGGTCTTCCCTACACCACGTAAGCCTTGGAAGTTACTCGTATTGGACCTTGTCATCCAACTCAATGCAAAGTAACTATTGACCCTGCGCCGGGGGCATATTATAAATACCCTCTTTCACTAGAGGGTTAGGTATTATATTTTCTACACCTTTTCTATGTACTTGCTGAAACTTACTTTGGCATCGGAGTACCTTGCAGGTACACCCCCTCCTCCTCTTCAACACCGGTGAACACAGGAGCTCACGACACGTGGCAGACTGCTGATTCCTTATGTTTTTTTAACTTACTCCAAATCATAACTTTTGAGTTGAATCTAATCTAATGGTAAATTAGTCTTTTTACTTAATTAACCATTAGATTAGATTCAATTCAAAAGTTATGATTTGGAGTAAGTTGATCCCCTCGATTATAGAAATAATCTAGAGGTAAATTGGAGCCTTTTAAAAAAATATATGCAGTTGATAGAGATCGAACTCACTTCAGGTTCAATGCTTTTTCCCTCGGTTATTGTAAAACCGGGGGGTAAAGTGAAAATTTTCATGTCTCCCTTCGTTACCTCGCTTGGATAACCAAGTTACAATCCACTTCACGTCCGAGGTGAAATAGAGTTATTTGTAGTAGTGCTTATTTTTAAGCACATCGTCTATCAATAAGGTATCTCACCTCACTTGAGCAGAACCCCTAAATCATCGTAAAACACCACCATATAGGTCTTACTGATGTTGTGAGAAAGCCCTAACCAACTTAGAATTGTTAAAAAACCTACTAAGGTCTATGAGTCCCCCTGCTCTTGCAAGAGGAACACTCACACCTATACTTTTTAACTACTACAATGTTGCCCACTGTAGGGCCCCGGTAAAACTAACTTGTGTTATAATATTACTCTAACTATTTCCATATTCCCCATGAGGATGTCCAATAAAACCATAACCTATAAGAGAAACACCATCTTTGAAGGTTTCGTTGGTGGAGATAACTCTAGATCCTCCCGAAGGAAGTATGCAAGGCAAATGTTTGCATCAAATATAAAATCCTATGGCTTCCCCGGAAGCTCTCAAGGGAAAATAGGGGATAACATCGTCTTTTTTGAGGAGGACGCCCTCGAAATCAACCCTCAGGTGATGATCCCTTGGACATCACTGTACAATAAGGCAACTGAGAAATTAAACACGTCGTGGTAGATCTTGGTAGCTTTGTTGATGTCCTATTTTGGGACACCTTCCAAAAACTGCAACTCAAGTATAACGACATAAAAAAGTTCAGTGGTTCTTTTACAGGTTTACCAGGTGAACAATTACAATTAATGGGCCACATAACCCTAGAAACTACATATGGTGTGGGAGCGGATGCCAAGGTGATTGGCATTAACTACCTCATTATGGATGCCCTATCACCATATAACATCATTCGGGGAGCACTCGTAACCACCCTCTAACTAACCTTAAAATACTCACTCTCTAACGGGCGAGTCGGTACCATTTCGGGGACCAACAAGCAGCTCAAGAATGCTATCAAAGTAGATTGGATAAATCAAGAGAAGAGCTCTCCCTTGTTGATGTCACTCCTTTAGAAGTTACAAATACTGAATTTAAATGTTGGAACTTCAGACTAGGCGCGGAAACGGAAAGGCTCGTGCCCACATAAGATTTGAAGGAGGTCCATATAGGTCCTCACGCCAATCAGGTCACGAAAGTAGGTATTACATTATCCATAGAGGAGGAAAGAGAACTACTTAACCAAGTCATTAAGAATGTCGACATGTTCGCTTGGGCTCCCTCAGACATGCCAGGAATAGACACTAAAGTGGTGAGTTATTTCCTCGTCATCCAACCTTCCGCCAGACCAGTGGCGCAAAGGAAGCAAAAAGTAGGTGAGGAGAAAAGGGTCGTCGAGATGAAGAGGTGGGAAAACTATTTGATGTCAGATTCATTACGGAAACAAAATACCCCACCTTATTGGCCAACATGGTTCTGGTATAAAAAGCCAACAACATGTGGCGCGCATGTGTGGATTTCACTAATTTAAACGTCGCCTTACCCTAAAGACCCATATCCGCTGCCAGACATCGATCGCCTTATCGATAGGTCTTCTAGATACTGCATGTTGAGTTTCATGGATGCATATTCAAGGTACAACCAAATTTGGATGGACCCCTTGGGTGCATCCAACACAGCCTTCATGTTGAATCATGACAACTATTACTACAACGTCTTATGTTGAACTTCATGATAAAGGTCCATTCCACCCCTTATGGTAACACAAGTAAGTTATAAAATGTCTTGCCTGAGGGACTTATAGTCTCATTAGTTAGGCTACATAGAATTCCACTTGGGGGACTTAGATTCCCTAGGTTATCTAAACTTTCGCCTGAGGAACTTAGTGTCTTCTTGAGCGGGACTAGACTCAATTATCAAGCCTGAGAGACGCGACATATATTCATCCTAAGAGACTTGATTATAAGTCTTGCCTGAGGGTTCGAGAGAAATCCTGCCCAATAGGTTAAAATGCCCCACTTGAGGGACTTATAGTCTCATTAGTCTGGCTGCATATAATTCTTCATGAGGGACTTAAATTCCCCAGGTTATATAAACTCTCGCTTGAGGGACTTAGCTACTCCTCTGGTGGGATCAAACTCAAGTATCATGCTTGATAGGGGCGACATATATCTAGTCTGAAAGACTTGATCACAAGTCTTGTCTAAATCCTTGAGGGAAGTCCCACATGATAGGTTGAAAGGCCTTGCCTGAGGGACTTATAGTTTTATCAGTCGTGCTACATATAATTCCACCTAATGGGCTTAGATTTCCCAGTTATATAACCTCTTGCTTGAGGGATTTAGTGTCTCCTTGGGTAAGACCATACTCAAGTATCATGCTTGAGAGGCGTGACAAATATCCAACCTGAGAGAATTGATCACAAGAATTTCCTGAGGGCTTGATAGAAGTCTCTCCCGATATATTAAAATGCCTCTCCCGGGGGACTTATAGTCTCATCAACCGAGCTATGTATCATTTCCCTTGAGGGATTTAAACTCCCTAGTCTATCTAAACTCTCGCCTTATGGACTTAGGGTCTTCTCGAGTGGGACCAGACTCAAGATGTCAGAAAGAGATGATATTGATCTACATATGCTTGTGTTTTAAATTATGATTGTCACTCTACATCCTATGTTTCGTTTGTTTCTCACTATCTTATACCTCAAAGTATTTTTTAGTTGAAATTGAATATACTCTGCGCGCAATTGCAAAGATTAATCTCTTCAGTCGAGTAGAACCACAATGGATGGAAAAACTCTCCCTCAAAAGAATTTAACATTGACGTGTGTCCATAGCTGAGTTTGAAACCAGTACCTTAAGCTAGAAGAAATCTCTTACCATCTCATCCAAATACTCTTGGGTTACCTCAAAGTGTTTTGATACTATGGAGTTTAGAAATTTTAAAATGTTGTAGTTATATATTAACTTTAAAATAAAATAATAAAATAAAATAAAAAATTTAAATTAAATTTAAAATTAATTTATTGCTTAGAACTATCGGTTTATTAATGTTAAAAAAATTATTATAATTGTTTCTAGAAATCTTTTGTTTTTATCATTATAAAAGAAAAACAATAAAGAAAAACTGGCCAACATTATTGTCCGAAGAAACAGTTTCAACGGTATTAAAGAGATGTTTTCCCCTATTCAACAACAACACTAATCCAAAACTAGATGCCAATAATAAAAACAAACAGTTTAAAGATACAAACAAATCCAACTAATTAACAACACAATAACTCACAATCCCTCCAATTTTATGCTAAAAAAACCAATCCAAATATTTAAGAAACGAAAAACACAAAATAAGTATTCTAAATAAAAACTAAAAGACAGAGATATATAGAAAGAATACATACATATTAAAAAATAAGAATGTTGTGTTGTGTGACCTAGTAAACCTCAAAGTTCATATGTACAAAGCTCAACTTCAGAAATAACTTGAGGTAATAAGAAATTACATATTTATTTTTTAATATTACTGATATAATAATTTCATAAACATATCTTTCAGTCTAAAAAATTATTAATAAATTTAATATAGCAACTATATTAACCGTCTATGAAAAATAGTTATAGATAGTTTGTTATCAATCAATTATATTCATTTATGCAATTTTTGTGAAAAGTTGCTCATAAAAAAATAATGTTTTCTTATAAAAATTTGATAATATACCAAGTTTTAAATCTTAAAATTTAATGAGTTGGTTATTTTATAACTATATCAGGATATCGATATTGTATTAAATAAAGAACTTCATCCATATATTAAAAAAAATATATTATACACAAATCACATACAATATTTCTCACATCATACTTAATTAGTCTAAAAAGTATTTTAAGAAAATATTAAGAGGTGTTTGTGTTCACTGAATCTTTTGACTGAATTTAATATTTGACTGTGTTGACTACATTTTCTATACTTATTTTATTATTTTAATAATATAGTTACTCGCTATATAATTTCTGCAAATCAGCAACAATTACAACATCACCTAATATTTGTGCATTTCATCTTCAATATGTCAAACACAACACAAGTTATTACATGCAAAGGTATCAATCAGCATAGTTTTTATTTACCCTAATGTTTTTTTTTATTACATATGTGGATATATATGTATATATCTATATATCTATATTGTATTGTAGCTGCGATATGTTGGGAGGTTGGAAAACCAGCAACAGTGGAAGAGATACAAGTAGATCCACCAAAAGCAACTGAAGTTCGAGTTAAGATGCTTTGCGCTAGTCTTTGCCACACAGATATCTCAAGCATTCAAGGATTTCCACATGTTTGTTTATTTCAATCCTATGTTTGATTTTGCATAATAGGTTTTGTTTGCTTTGACTTTTGGTAATGGATTTATATACAATTTGCAGAACAAATTCCCTCTAGCACTTGGACATGAAGGAGTAGGGTAAAGCAACAAAAATAGAATCGATCAATATATTAAAATCTTTTTTTGTTGAAATTATATTAATATTAATCTTGTGTTTAAAACAGTGTTGTGGAGAGTGTTGGTGATGAAGTGAAAAATCTGAAACAAGGGGATATTATAATTCCAACCTATGTTGGAGAGTGTAAAAAATGTGAGAATTGTGTTTCTGGGAAAACCAATCTTTGTCTGAAATATCCTGTCAGATTCACTGGCCTAATGCCTGATAACACTTCAAGGCTGTCTGTTAAAGGAAAAAGATTATATCATGTTTTGAGCTGTGCTACATGGTCAGAGTATGTGGTTGTTGATGTCAACTATCTACTCAAAGTTGATCCAAGCATTAATCTAGCTTATGCTAGTTTTATCTCATGTGGTTTTGCAACTGGTTATGGAGCTGCTTGGAAGGAAGCTAGGGTTAAAAGTGGTTCAACTGTTGCTGTTTTCGGTCTTGGCGCTGTTGGATTAGGGGTACATGTTTTCCATAAAATTATTGTCGCGATTGCGATAATGCATTACTGAGACCTAACCTGCAATATTGTGGTTGCGGACTGTAATTTAAAACTAGGGTTTTGCTTTTGATTGTATGATGAGAATGAAACCTTGTGGTGCAGGCAATAAGTGGAGCAAAAATGATGGGAGCAAGTAAAATAATTGGAGTTGACAAAAATGAGATGAAGAGAGAAAAAGGAGAAGTTTTTGGATTAACCAACTTTATAAATCCAAGTGATTCTGAAAAATCTGCTTCAGAATTGGCGAAAGAAGTAAATGGTGGAATTGGTGTGGATTACTCTTTTGAGTGCACTGGAGTTCCTTCTTTACTTAATGTCTCAATTGATGCCACCAAATTGGTAAGTTCAACTTCATCAAATAATTCAGTTATTTAGTTATTTGTGTTGTTAAATTTTGGTTATATATGTATAGGGAACAGGTAAAACAATAGCTATTGGTTCAGGAGTTGAAAATATTGTTCCACTTGATCTTATTGCCATTATATTTGGTAGAACATTGAAAGGTTCTGTTTTTGGAGGACTGAAAACTATTTCTGATCTTTCCATCATAGCAGACAAATGTCAGAAAGAGGTAATTTCTTACAACAAAATATGAAACTTTGTTATTTGCATGCACATTTTTTGAAAAATTTAATGTTAGCATGAATCTACATTAAAATTTGTTTAATGATTTGTATTTTATAGGAACTCCCTCTTCATGAGCTGCTCACCCATGAGGTACCACTGTCGGATATAAACAAAGCATTTGAGCTCTTGAAGCAACCTGGTTGTGTAAAAGTTGTCGTCAAGATGTGATATGTTTCAGATCTGGCTTTTAGTAAGGCACTATCTTCAACAAAGGCAAAGATGGCTCGTATGAAATTTCAATCAACTATAAAGGAGATATCAAGTGAAAAAGATTATCTGCAAGTCTCTATAAATGTTCACTTTACGTGATTAGTCATTTTCAATAAATCCATTATTACCAAACTCAATTATTATCGTACAATGATCAGGATATTATGATCTATACCATTTTGATTTTTCAGCATACCCAATAAAAAATAACTAAAGGTTCTTGCATCAAGTTTCTTTTCATGTGCATAATACGTCCATACTTAACTTAGCACTATATTGCGAGCACAAAAATAAATTTTATAATTATCATATCTATAAAAACCGATAATCTGTTGCAGATTGATACGGTTCGGATGTGGATTGATGTGGCGTTGCTGTGTTATAACGATGTTGCGATGTTATGGAATTAGATGGAAGAGTTGCCAATTTGTAGATCCATGAGGAATGTCGGAACGAATTGCAATATTTACTACCAAGGTTGTGACTAAAAGTGATTTAAGAAGGGGAAATAGTGAAGCACACTATTGATAAAAAAAAATTTTAAAGTAGCAATGTTATATAATTTAATTACCAAATAAAATAAACTTTCAAAAAATTTATCAAAATGACAAACTTTAAAACTCATCCAGCATTCGCTAAATGGAATGGCGAATTACATGAATTGACGAATGTGACTAATTTTTAGGGTTTCCAATTTTTTTTCGTTTTTTTTGTTTTTTTTCATATATTTAAAGTTTTAAAACTTTATTTGTTTTTTGATTTTAATATCATTATTATTAATAACTATAAAATATATTAATTTATAATATAAATAATATTAATATAATTAAAATATTATTATTAGTAACTATAAAATATATTAATTTATAATGTAAATATAATTATTATTAGTAACTATAAAATATATTAATTTATTTATTACTTATTATTTTCTATGTATTAGACTTATTAATATAATGTAAATAATATGCTAAAGTTAATATTTTTAGTATTTTCTAAACAAATTATTTAGTGTGTTACAATGACACTATAACATTTAAAATTTAAATAATTATGAAATTCACATCATACTATTAACAATTTAAAAACTGAGCATTTAAAAATTTCAATCCACAAAAATGATAGATAAAGTGTGTCTTATAGGTAAAGATGATACATAATTCCATCAATTACAAATGGAAAGAAATATTGTTTATCTTTAAGCATCAAAAAAATTTAAGACCCAAATATTCATATTGTAACTTACGAAAAACTTTTAATGAAAAATTAAAATTTGACATCGTTCCAAAGTTTATAATAATTATTGAAAGGTTATATTTATGTTCAACATGATAGTTCATAAATGTTGAAAGGTGAATCTCATGTTCAACATTCTAATTCACCGTTGAAAGGTGAATAGCATGTTCAACATTCGAATTCATGATTAAAAGATAAATCTTATGTTCAACATTCAAAGTTTGTCATTTTATTAATTTTTTTAAAAGCTTATTTTATTTGGTAATTAAATTATATAACATTGCTACTTTAAAAAAAAATTCTATTGGTACCATGGAAAATAAAAAAGTGATTTAAGAACAAAATATATTTAAGTGTGATTTATTTGTGAACAAATATAACGTTATGAGTGGAGGATGATTCATTCTATCTATGTGACACGTGTATAATCCTCTCTGTTGAAGGATAATTACGTAAATATAAAATAGTTGAAACTCTCTCAGATCCGTCAAATTGCATAAAGGTCGTGAGAGTAGTAGACTCAATTACCTCCGTAAAATTCATATTATTTTGGTTTAAAATTTTAATCCTTTACAAGTTTTACTACTATAATAAATATAATTGATATTTTAATTATTGGTTAATTTAATAATATGATTTCAACATCACATTTTGAACATAACCACATCGGCTTGTGTTGGAAGGTTTTTGTTGGAACATTATTTTAATAGTCAAATATAGGAATATAAATTTGAAAAAACTCTTTAATTTAAGTCTCATTCAGTGTGTTAAGTTGAGAAATCTCTTTAATTTAAGTTTCATTTAGTGTGTTAGTTAAGAAACCTCTTTAATCTCACATTACTTAGGTGAGATATATTTCCTCACTCACTTTATTATATATGAAAATTTTCTATTTCATTCTAAAATACACCAAAAATTTATTTTGAGTTTTATCCTTCCTCACTCTCATAACTTTGCATCTTTTGAATTGTCGAAGCGCCAACTTTTTCCCCTTTCTTTCTACTCGTTGAATTTTTCGGATATTTTCTTGAATTCTCTTTAGAGAATTATGTTAATTTCTCCTCGTTTGAGTTGAGAAATTATCAAGTATAATTTTTGGTTTCTCTTTAGAGAATTATTCGAGTTTCTCTTTGTTTGAGAAATCATCTTGAGTTGTCAAATGACCATTATTAAATTCACTTTAGAGAATTACTGAAATTTCTCTTGGTTTGAGAAATTATTACGACTGATTATTATACCGGATACTACGAGTGATATTAACCATATTCGAATGGTCTTTGTACCATCACAAAGTGTATTTCAAGACCGATTATCTACCATGCAAGTAGTAGTCGTATAGTATAAAACTTGGTTATTTTATCTTGGAGGCGTCGCGATAGTTTGACTGTTTTGCATAACTTTGGGCAGTGTCGCGAAACGTCTTAAAGAGAGCAACTTAGTCAGCGACTCGACCTGGTAATTTCTTCTGTGGCTAATTTTCAAAACCGTGAAGTAACAATTTAAAGACGTTTCATACTACCATGGCTATCGAAGAAATTATTGGTACTTCTGCGACGGTTGCCTCTGACAAATCATTCAAGTTTGAGGGAAGTCACTTCAAATGCTGACAACAAGATTTGCAATTTTTATGAAAAAAGATTGTCAACGTTCTGATCGATGATATTCCTGTTAATCCTTATGGATCAACCGATCAAATTAACGGTAAGAAATCTGTGGATTCAGATGGAACACTTAATAGTGTTAAAGCTGAATTTGCTGCACAAATTAAAGCGAACAATTTCTAACTCAGAAAAGAAATTGCCTTATGGAAAGAGAATGATTATCTCTACAAAATCATATTTTTGAATGGACTTGCAGATGATCTGCAATACTGCAAAACAGGTTGGAGAGACTATACAAAAGAAGTATGACACCGAGGAAGATAGAATAAAGAAGTATATCGTTAGTCGCTACCTAAAGTATCAGATGGCATAAATCAAAGGTGTGTGGATGCTCAATGTTATGAACTCCAAAAGTTTGCTTATAAGATCATCACAAAAGGTACGTGTTTAGATGAAGAATTTCAAATTGCTTTTATTATACATAAATTGCCCCTAGTTTGAAAGCTTTTAAAAATTATGCTTCACCATAAAACAAAACAAAAATTAATTGAGAGTCTGATTATTCGCCTTCGAGTTGAAAAAGAATCTCGGAGACAAGATCAAAAAGCAAAGTCTTGGCTGTTTCAAACAACAAAAAAAGAAATTCGGTGTAATTCTAAAGCCATTTATTTGGCAAATGATTAAAGAATCAGAACCACAATGTTGTGAACCGAATTAAGAATGTGAACCTTTCTAGGGCCCGAATTACTCTAATTGATAGGCAACAATCAGCACCATAAAGAAATAACACTTGAAAACCAGGTCATATGATTAAGAAATGAAAGATCGAGTTTAAATCTTGTGTTTCTCCTAATGCATAGGTTAACCTGATTGATGAGCAACTTATTGGTTTGATCACTAAAAAAAATTGTTAGAACACAGATTGGTGTTTAATATATCTCAGAGTTTTGATGATAACATTAATGAAATTTTATATAGAGAATTTATATACTCTAATTTTGTTCAAGTGTTTATTTGTTTCAGATATCAAAATTAATATTATTCTGGAAGCAAGAACGCCTTTGAACATCACAGAACAAAAAAGCTCTGAGCGTCAGAAGCAACACATCAGAAGACTCAGATCTGTTACAATGATTCTGAGCAAAGCTAAGAAGAACTTGAGAAAAAGGCATACGTAAAGCTTCAGAAGATTCTGAAAGTACTCAATGCTACAAGTACAGAAGTTCTGATAAGCAAGTATGCTCTGATAAGGGTTTCACGCTTAAAGAACTTTGTTGCAAACTCTGATAGAGAAACTCTAATTGAGTTAACTCTGACCTGAACAACTAAGAACATCATCAGAAGTTCTGATGCAAGGCGTTCCAAAGTTGTTGAAGAAGATGTTGTTCAAATAAAGATCCGTTGGTATATTCCTTGTCTTATCATAAACGGCTCTTTCCCCGTTCTTGCATGACACAGGATTTCAGACAAAAAGGATTTGTCAGAACATTCCTCTTCTGAGAAAGGAAAATTCATTAGAAGATAAAAGGATCAGAATGTACAGATTGCACAGTCTTTGAGAAAGGATTTCAAAGTACTATAAAAGCAAGTTCCAGCATCACTTCAAAGGTTAACGAATTTGACGGAACTATTGACATATTATTCAACTAGCTCTCACAAATATTCTTTAAGTTAGAACAGTTTTATTCTTTGTTCTAAAACTTGTGTAAAAATCACTGTTGTGATATAGCTTTTTAGAAGCATTTCTTAAACACAATTTGTTAGTTTATCTTTGTAAAAGATTTCCTTAAGAAGACCAAGTTGTGGTGAGAATTTCTTGAGAAGACTAAGACAGTTGTCTTAGTGGTTTACACTGTAATCAAGTTTGATATAGTGGATTAAGTCCTTGTTGAGAAAGGCAAATCACCTTGGTATGGTGGACTGGATTAGTTTGAGTTCAAACGAACCAGGATAAAAATACTGTGTTATTTTTCTATCATCCAAATTGTTTTAAAATACTTATTCAACTTCCCCCCCCCCCCCCTTCTAAGTGTTTTTCTCACCTTCAGTTGGCATCACAGCTCTGGTTCTGTAAGTGCTCTCACTTAACCGTGACAGAAAAAGATCTTGTTGGGAAAAACT